GACCACCTCGCCCAAGCTGAAGTACGGAAACATGCGCGTCTTTTCCTCAGGACGGGGACGGAGAAACAAATCAAACAAATATAATAAATAATCTTTTCTGAAAAAAAAGGACTCGACAGTTTTTTAAACTTTTTTCTTTGTACTATGTATTACCAAATTCGAAAGAAATGCGAACACTGATGGAACTTCCAGCTCAACTATGTATCACCAAATTGGAAAGAGATGCGAACAGTGTATGACGGAACTTCCAGCATACCAGTGGCGCCGCATAGAAGCTTTGGTTATGCTGGACGAGCTTCAAACAGATCGGAGTAGGACTGGCATCATACTGGCACCCTACCCTCCGACCCGCAGTTTTGTCAGTTTAGAGAGGCCTCCAGGAGGCGCTGCCTGGGTCCATGGCCACGGGCTCGAGTGGTTGCAATCCATTTGAGCCCGGTAGTACTTTACATATTTATGCAGACTTAGTTAAAACACCTCTTTTTTTCTTTTGTAACTGATAATTCTGCAACCTGCGCCATGCTAAATATAGACCAAAATTAAAAACAAATATTTCGTTGCAAAAATACACACACACACATATATATGCATTCATATATATATATATATATATATATATTTATATATAAGCCCTAAATATTGAGTTCTTAGGCCAAACACCCTTTGTTTCTTGCTTCAAAAAAGAAGTAATTTGCAATAATTTCAGTAAAAAATTATAAAATATAGGTATTTGCCTTTGTTTTTAAAGATACTTTAAGAAAGGTTATTTGTTTTCTTATTTATGACCACATATAAACCGAAAAGTATATGTTTTAAGAAGAAAAAAACTCACTTTATTTCTTGCTTGGAATAGTTTGCAATAGTTTCAACAGTGGAAATTGACAAAATTCAAAAATTATGTTTTCACATCAAACTTTGTTCTTACATTTGTTTGTTGTATGGATTCTAGACTATTCAAATGACTAAAGTATATGTTTCTAGACGGACCACATTTATGAGTTTTTTTTAACTGAGTATTTTTCTATTTGTTCAGTATTGTTAACTTATTTCAGGAAACACGGCAGGGGCATAATTTTATATAAGCATGTTTTTCTCTAGCATAGTTTTTTTTCACTAAAACACACAAAAGTTATAAATTAACTATGAGGGCGTGGTAGAAACAAAATACGTGAATATAAACTTTTTATGGTATTTTAACTTCTCAGCTCCCCTAAAAATAGTTGGGTGTGTTTCCCCCTTGGGCACTGTGTTCTGCAAAAATTCAAGGTGCACTCAAACAAATAATAATAAATATTTAGAGGTAAAACCCCTTACAAAAATATGTATGGACGTCCTATGTCCATTCTTTTGCCGTTCTATTACCCCTTTGTCCATCCTATGGATTTCTGTAGACAGTTCTTAGACCGTCTATGTACCACTGGTTTGCCACAGAAGGGACACAACAAGGCTATAGAGATCTTCGCGAAAGAAAAAGGTTTTCATTCCTTCCTATTTCCGTTCTATGGTCCTGGTGAGTCTATGGACATCCTCTTGCCTTTCTATGGTGTGAGCTATATATTGGTACATTAATAAAATGATGCCGGGTAGACGTTTTCTTTAGGTGTAGCGAGGTGTCCGAGTTAAAGAGTTGTTAATTAAGTTCCGGGTATCAATATGCTACATTGATGTCTGGAGGCATATCCAACCTCAGGGTATATTCATTGTGGAGATGGAAGTGTTTAGTATGTGCCGGAATAATGTTTTTACTTTCTCAGTGGGAGGTAGATATATGTAGGTCGCTGCGGCCCCCGTAGATATTCGCAACTTTCACAACCCATAGGGGGCGCACTGGTGCCTATCAAAATTGCGGTCATCTGGATGATCGTCGTAAAACAGCGGTATACTAGGCTGGGTCTGCGCGCGACGCGTAAGTAAGTCTAGTTATGCTGTATACGGCGCGGTATCAAAACCTTACTTTATGTTTTTTTTTTTTTTTTTTCACGTCAGGAGAGTGTAGGCAAGCCATTTTATTATGAGGCCAATCATCCAGGAGCTAGGGAGTGCGATTCTCACACCGCGGTACCACCATCGCTTAAAGTGGCTTCTCTATGGACCCCGTAGGGACTCCGTGCAGACCCTGTATGGCTTCTCTGCAGTCTCCATAAGGGGCCCTGCAGACCCTGTATGGCTTCCCTGTGGACCCTGTATGGCTTCCTTGTGAACCCCGTACGTACTCCCTATAGACCTTGTATGACTTCTTTGCAGACCCCTAAGGACCCTACACTCTTTAAAATGACTTTTACAGAGCACGTTTTTGCGTAAAAACAAATGGGAAAAAGCTCTTTTTGTAGAAACCTTTATTGGAGATAGTACAAAATGACAAGGGCGTGATGTTTGCATACACTTTTAGCTTACAGGGTTTTGCGGCACAATTAATATTTCTTTTTACAGCCATGCCTCACTGGCGACTTCAGGTAGCGCGTTTCGACTTGGGTGCGTCCTAACTTAGGTTGCAATCAGGGTTGCCAGGTTGGGCTATAAATAGCCAAATTGGGCTAGTTTTATTTGCAATTGGCGGGAACAAATGGTAGTTGGCTATTTGGCTAGTATTGGGCTATTTCTAACCTGTGCATTGGGCTATTTTTGACCTGTGAATTGGGCAATTTCTGACCTGTGCTGGAACCAAAATGCCTGAAAGCACTTGGGTTTATAGGTTCGAATGTATTTTTAGAGTAAGTTACATGAACATTTGGCGCTTGAGTCCCTTAACCCTGATTGCGACAGCAAACAAATTCCTCTTCTTTTTGCGCGCCTTGTGCAATTGTTTAGCTCCGAATGCAAGCATGTGCTGTTATTCCTCCATCTCAACAAGTGACGGCGCAATTCCTTGCGGCCGTAACAGCACCTGTTCTGCGCATTCTTTAGGTTGTCTGAATTCTGCATAGTTCTCCCGTGACGTCAATGTTCCAATATAGTGGAAGGTATGTTGTCATGCGCTTGTACGAGCGTTTCAGGAAGTTTGCCGAACGTGCAAGGGACGTCATTTCTAGGGCATTTGATGGATAAAAATGTATTATGTGTCTTTTCTGCTCAAAATAAATGTTTCAAATGATAAGTTTTTTGGGGGGGGCTATTTTTGGGCTTTTTTTCTGGATCGACATTTGGCTATTTTTGGGCTATATCTCATAGACGTTTGGCGGGTTGGAGTTGAAACACCTGGCAACCCTGGTTGCAATTCGCGGCGCGTCCGCCGGGGAGACGGGGGTTGGCATCCCTGAAACCCCTCTTCTACCGTATATGTTTCGGCGCCAAAGTGGCCGATTCAAGCCAAAGCAGAACAGTCACATGCTGTCGAATATCGATAGTCCCAAAGCAGCACACGCGGTCGTGCAGTTATCCGAGTGGCCGCTGCGGGTGGAATGGTGGCGTTGCGATCGCAATTAATTCGGTTTTCGAGTACAGATCGGTGCCGCTTTTTCAGAGCAAGCTCTTTAGCGTTTCCCAACTGACTTGCTCTAGAAACGTTGGTCGGTGCGGACCCCGTCGCAGAGCCCATGCAGACTGCCTGGCTTCTCTGCGGACCCTGTGGGGACTCCCTGTAGACCTTGTATGGCTTCTCTGCAGAACCCATGAGGACCCTGTGTAGACATTGTATAGCTTCCCTGTGGACTCCCTAGGGACTCCTTGTAGACTTCGTATGGGTTTTCTGCAGGCACCCTATAGACACCGTAAAGACCCTGTGTAGACACCCTATAGAGTCCCTATGGACTCTATGTGGCGTCTTACCATAGCGAGGGTATAGGAAGACCACACATCATCCATAGAATAGGACGTCCATAGAACGTCCGTTGGCCAATATTCTATAGGGCAGCCATAGGACGACTTCACGGAGGCAACAGAGGTCGTGGTCTTCCTATAGACGCCTTTTGTTCTGCCTATGGACGCTGCTCTATAGAACGTCCTAGAAGTGTCCATACATATTTTTGTAAGGGTCATATTGATAAACGAACTATTACGCCACCAAAAATACATAAAAGCGTCTTAGAGCGAATTCGTGAAGTTCCAATGTTCGCCTCTATCGTTGGGTTGAATAGAAGTTGTCGAGAGCGGAAGTTAAATTTCAAGGAGAATAAGTGGCAATAAACATCTGAGACGTCGAACGCCATTTGTACTGAACTAAACACGCAGCAGTAGATCAGAGGAAGGGTAACTAAGATATAGACGTTGTCTTGCTTTACAGAGTGAAAGTTTATGTAAATTTCCTACTTGCTCTATTATGACTGACTTAACTTTTCTTGCTGACCTGTCACAGTTTTTTTATAAATATTGTTGCCTAAAAGAGTCTATACAAAGCAAAACTAGTGTTCTGTTAAAAAAAACACGTGAAAGTTACACTTATGCAGTTTGTGTAGATGAGTTTTTACGGCCAAGGGGTACATACTACAGGGGCTTATCGTAACAGTCATTGGGCTAATAATCAAATATTTCTTAATATAACTTTTTATTTAGTGAAAATAGACAGCTGGTTCCAATCAGAAACTTACCGAGCGTCATCAGAAACCACTAAATCAACTGATTTTAGAACAACTTGAAGTTCGGACGAAACTCGGGGGCTCACCAAAGTTAACATCCGTGCTGCAAGCGCAAAGCTAGCAGTAGCGGAACGCGATGATAATCTAATCATCCGCCTTTTGTGACTGCTAGCTTCGCGCCTCCACCACGAGTGGTAAATTTGGTGCGCCTCGACTTTCAAATGAATATCAAGTCGTTCCAAATATAGTTGATCTAGCGGTTTTTGATGACGCTCAGTACGTTTCGAATGGGAACCATTGTCTGTATTCACTAATTAAAAAGTTAATAACGATTTGTTTATAGTTTGCCGAGTGATCGTTACGATTAGCCCTCTATACTATGTGCCCCTCACCGTATAACCTACCTGTACAACTTGATAAAGTTTAGGCTCAACGCCTGTATTTAAACAAATCTGTGAAGTTTAAAAGAAAACACCCGTATATGTGAGAATGCAAATGAAACTAAACATGCTAGTGAGCGTGACCTGGAATATTCAAGGAAACAGATTATTCAATGAACTGTTCAATGCCGGGATAAAGCCGATAACGATGTATTTTAAATACCTTATATATTCAATTCCAGGAGTTCCACTTGGCACAAGTTGGATATCGTGTCATCCCCAGCACTGAGGGATTCTTACAAAGAACAATTTCGTGCACGGACATATCTCGACAGTCATTTCGCTGGAAAAGTTTCTCCTTCCCAAGTAGAAAAAACACATCGTTTTCTTCAATCGGGTAAATACCGAATTCGAAATGTTTATCTGTTCAAGTTCCTAATGTTGTTGCTCTTATGGTTGCCGATTGATGAACACGTAGACTTAGTGCTTATTTTTGTGTGGAAATTACAATTTGAGAACTCCGGAAGGTGCAGTTTTAAAGCCGCAGCATCCAGTAGACGCTTTACGCCCATCACCGTTCTTCGATTGCACGTGCGTGCGAGAGAGAGAGAGAAAGGGAGAAAGAACCTCCATTAAAGTCGCCCATGTCCGGGCAGTGGGTACTAGAGGGTGAGGTCTTCCGAAAATTTTGGCGCGTCAAGTCGAGTCGGGACAACTGAAACTCCTTTTTGTGGTTCCGAGCATTTCAGTTACTACAGCTGTCTTTACGATTAAAGTTACTTTCTTAAAGTTCCACATAGCATGCACACTCGCGTGCACACGTAGCATGGCGACGTCATGACGGTAAAAGGGAGCCACTTTGAAAGGAGAAACACACAAAAAAACATGGCAGTGAAATGAAGCTACTTCCCTTCCTCGCATTTCTATTGGGTGAAGTGTTCGGTGTCTCACCCGAGCACAGTTGGACGCGTAAATTGTGATTACAAAATAGGTAATGTTTGTGAACTACGATTATTTTGAGGATGAAAGCAAAGTAAATATATTATTGTATTTATTGGCAATTAAACTGGGTCAATAAAAAAACTCCGGTCTCTTTTCATATGATCTGATTCAGGGCGAGACCGTGTTGGATGTGGGCACTGGTCCGATGATTCTTAACTCGCTCATGATGTCAAGTCGATTCAAGCACATCGTGTTGAGCGACTTGGTGGGAGACAACAGGCTGGAACTCAACAAGTGGATTAACAGGGATCCAGATGCCATTTACTTGACCCCCTTTGCAGAGCAGATTGCTGCCATTGAAGGCTATGGGTATGTAGGGCTTTAGAAATCATTGCCGCATTAGTGTATTTTAGTCGGTAGCTTTCGTATTTGGTCTCCCTTTTTCTGGCGTCTTTTCCGTTCTTTTGTCCCCTTCTCCCTCGTGGTCCACTTTTATTATCGCTAAAGCCACCTTACTTCTCCGGACCTTGGAAGTTTTCCTTTGGAGATCTGAAAATGCATATAAGCTTAATCATGCTGACAAGGACCTGGAATCACAGAATGTGTTCAGCGCAAACTACCACATTACAGGACGACCTTTTTAAAATTGACATCACGACACTTAAGGTGGCCTGTTCGCGCCACGAGACATCACTTATTTCCACTGAATATAGCGGAGAAATTGGCGTCATATCTTTTGGTCACGGTGACATGACGGCAATTTCTCATCGCAATCTTTAGCGCGGAGACTGACGTCATGTGGGGTAAGGTCCAAAGGCGTTGTCACCTGATGTCGAATAGCCTAACTAAACATAAAGGCGAAATCAACATCAAGTGACTTGATGCCAAAAAACGCTGTCCCGTAAAATGAATTTATACTCTAAATGAAGGGTCGGAAGTTGACGTCCCGCGACTTTGGGGCACATTACGTTTTTTAAGGTACTTCATATATCCAATAAATTTGTCTGAGAAATTAAAAGCGCGCGTCAATAATTTTCTTGCTCAACTTAGCCGGTAAATTGACGTTATTCTTCTTTGCAAAGAAACTCTCTGACGGTCCTTCATTGGAGCCTTCCTGAGGGTTTCCTACACAATGGTGTCACATGAAATCACGGTGTCATGCTGTTGCGGGACGTCATATCGTCACGCGCCTTATGATGTCACGTAATACAATGATACTCCACTATGCCTCAGCTGGAAAACGCTTCGGTTCATTGATGTCCTCCCCGGCACGGCAAAAGGCACGCCAAGTAAAAAAAGAAAAAGAACTTCATGCGTGGCTCGACGCATTGGTCGGTTGGTCGTATACGAAGTACAGCTACCTCTCGGCTCTGCTGGTTGACGTTCTCGCGGGTGGTCATGCGGCCGGTTTTCAAAGTAAAGGAACTGCAGCCTGCCCCTTTCGGGGTTACGCGGACCGTCGACGAGCTCTCGTTCATGTGTGGGGCCTGAGAAAACCAGCTCCAGGCAATGAATGTCAGCCATATTGTAATAAGGGAATGAGGCGCTACACTTCTTTCAACAGGTGTTTTAGCACTGAGCCTCCAACCGGCCGATTGAATGCATTAATCGGTTTTTGGGGCGCGGAGCGACGTGGCGATGGCAACGACCTTGTTAGGCAGGCGCTGAGAAGGGGCGCCGTCGAAGTCGTAGTTTTGCTGTTCGCGAGGAGTCCACGCACAGGATAGTTCGATTGCGTCTTCATCTGAGGATGGTAGCTTCTAATGGTCACTTGCCAGGACGAGGTCTTTAATCGTTTCACAGCTGCGCCGATGTAGATACGCGTGATCACAGGGGTGGCATTGTCGGATGAGGCACGCGACCCTCTCCAACTCAGGAGCAGCTCGCTCTACTCGGTGGTACAGTTATTTATACCCTGGATGTACCACACGAGGTCTTCACCCGGGTGCTGCGTGCGACGCTAGAGCTCAAGCTGGATCCCGGACTCGTATCCCGCTGGCAGGAACTCCCGCAGCTCTCCACTAGATGGCTGGATGGCGCGTTGAGCAAACAGGTATGAAGCCACCGCAAGTAAACGGCTTGTCCCGGAAGTGAGCGCTTGACAGGCTTTGCCACTCTGAAGATTGGTACAGTGCTTGGGACAAGCACTGTCCAAGGCGCTTCATTTGCTCTTGTTATACCAAAATGGCCTGCGTGTTGCGCAATAACCGTTCACGCAGGCCAGAGAAGCGTTCTTGGAAGCCATATGATGAGTAAGGATTTCGAGATTCTAGTTGATTAAGTGTATATGCCCCACGTTAAATCGCCTCAATCTCAAGATTAATAATCGAAAATATGTTTAACACCTACGTAAAAATGCAAAAAAGCATGAACGAGAACTAACTATATGCACTATAAAACCTGGCAGACACTCGACTTCCGGTAGAGGCATCAAATTTCCGGTGCCTTCACTCGCGCGCGACTTGGAGCGCCGCTAAGCGGTATCCAGCCCTCTATTGTATAAATAGAGAGCTGGACACCGCGAGGAGTGCCCACGGATCTCTATAGAGATCCGTGGGAACTCCTCGCGGAAAGTGGCGCGGAATGCTGCGAGAGAGGGAAAGGTGCGCTGATTTGCAAAGCAACGTCTCGCTCTCATCTTTTTGGTTGGGCGGGGGGTCCACTCGAGGTGCCGCCACTCGGACATGGGTGTCGAGCTTCTCCAGGAAGTTAGCGACATATTCCCCGTAGTCATATCCTGTGTAGACGGGAATTGTGAGCCGAGAGCGGAGCTCGGGCTCACGCTGCCGCTGACTGCCGGTGTCGCCCGTGACGGCTGCCGGGCGCTCCCTCACCACATCGCGAGGTTGACGGCCATCCAGTTCATGACGGCAATGACGCCTGCGGACGACGGCAGGGCCCCCGATTCCGGGTCGTTGGAGTCGTGGTATTCCTTGATGTCCTCGTCCCGGTGACGAAGCTTGGGTGGCATGGAAAAGGAAAAAGCAAACCGAATGGAAACGAAAAACAAAGAGGAGGGCGCAACAAAAGAATTGCGAAAACACAGGGGAAAGGGAACACTAATACGCTTGCTAACTTGCGTACCAGCGAAAGCGTGTGTCAGAAGGTGCACAGGCAGAGAAAAAGTAAAGGGACGCAATAAACTAGCACTCAAAACCCAAACCTGCCAGAATCGGTGCAAGCGAAAACCGTGCAAACAAGCAAGCTGTCAGGAAGAAGAACAAAAACGTATAGACAATCACAACCCTGCAAGCCGGGAAAATGGCGCAGAGCGAATTACCGAATAATATAGGCCAAAATCACTGCTGCGGCCCCGCTGATTTTCGGAGAAATGCATCAGCATTTCGCACAGCGGTTATGTGAGCAAAGCATGGTGAATGCACCCTCTAAGCCCTTCTCCGCGGGGTGAACATTCTCGAAACCCCTCTTCTCCCTGGTTCATGCAGATCAGGTCACTTGGCGTGTGCAAGAAGGACGTGCGCGCGATACGTGAAATATGACAGAGCCCTTCCGTTGATTTGCATTCATTTTGTGCATATAGGGGTACGACACCGTGGGCTTGATGCGCGGTGACGTGGTAAGACAACTGCGAATCAAGAACGACGTCACAGACACAAGAACGGAACCGCAGGCCTTGTGCGTTCACAAATCTACTAACGGAGGAGCAGCCCGCACGGGCCATCCCGGGTACCGCCCACCGTTTACAAATGCGCGGGCACAGAAAAAACAACGAGTTCAAATCAACAAATTTTTTTAAGGTTGTGGAATAGTAGTGCGCGTACAAGATGTCCCCGGTCGTTGCTGAGTCCATTTCACGAGGTTGCCTCCACGTGCCTTTGATCTTTTTAGAGCGCAGCTCTTAGGCGCCCGTTTCAGGCATGAGCGGCGTCGGCGTCGCCGTCGGCGTAAGCGCGCGGTGCATTATGGGTAAATTTCCCCGCTAAATCTAGCGGAAAAAGTTCGCCCCGAAATCGAGCGGAAAAAAGTTCCCCACTAAATCTAGCGCAAAAAAATTTCCCCGCTAAATCTAGTGGAAAAATGTTCACGCTAAATCTAGCGGGAAAATGGCCCCGCTAAAACAAGCGGAAAAATTTACCCGCTAAATCTACCGGAAAAATTTCCTCGCTAAATCTAGCGGAAAAATTTCCTCGCTAAATATAGCGGAAAAATTTCCCCGCTAAATCTGGCGGAAAAAATACCCCGCTAAATCTATCGGATAGTATTTCCACGCTAAATCTAGTGGAAAAATGAAAGCCGTTTACAACTCCCTGTAACGCCGGATTAGAGCGCAGCTCTTGAGGAGGAGGAGCCAAGGCCACAAAGGTTACGTGACCCCCCCGGAGGTCACGTGACCTCGGGGCGGGGGGGGGGGGTCACGTGACCTAAGGGGGGTCACGTGACCTGGGGCATCACGTGACCCCCCAGAGAAACTTTTCCGCTACATTTAGCGGGGAAATTTTTCCGCTAGATTTAGCGGGAAAAGTTCTCCGCTAGATTTAGCGGGGAAATTCACCCATAATGCCCCACGCGGTTACGCCGACGGCGACGGCGACGCCGGTCAAGCCGGAAACGGGCGCCTAAGAGCTGCACTCTAAAATTTCCCCACTAAATCTAGCAGAAAATTTTCTCCGCTAAAGCTAACGGAAAAATTTCCCCGCTAAATCTAGTGGAAAAAAGTGAAAGCCGTTTACAACTCCCTGTAACGCCGAATTGGAGTGCAGCTCTTGAGGAGGAGGAGGGAAGGGTATTGAGGGGAGGATAGACACTTTCCTCCTCCTCCTCCTCCTCCTTCTCCTCCTGCTCCCCTCATTCTTTAATATGCTCCGGGGGGGGTCACCTGACCGCGGGGGGAGGGGGTCACGTGACCTCGGTGGGGTTGTCACGTGATTTCGGGGGCGGGCGGGGGGGGGTCACGTGACGTCGGGGAGGGGGGTCACGTGACCTTGAGGTGACCTTGGGAGGGGACACCTGATATGGGGGTCACGTGACCTGGGGGTCACGTGACCTTGGGGTGACCTTGGTCACGCCGACGGCGACAGCGACGCCGCTCAAGCCGGAAACGGGCGGCTAAGAGCTGCGCTTTAAAAATTCCCCGCTAAATCTAGCGGAAAAATTTCTTCTGGGGGTCACGTGATCTTGGGAAGGGGGTCATGTGACCCCGCCAAGGTCACGTGACCACCCCCCCTTAGGTCACTCGACCCCCCCCCCAGAACACGTGAACCTCAGTACCCTCCCTCCTCCTCCTCAAGAGCTGCGCTCTAATTCGGCGTTACAGGGAGTTGTAAACGGTTGGACTATCAACCCTTTTAATAAACTTCCTTTTCCTCAGCCCAATCTTAAAAGGGTAGCTTCTTCTTCTTCAGTCAGAG